AAGATCTCATTACACATTACCAAAATTATTATTTTTTTGTTTAACAACGAGGATTATTCAGATTAGTTTATGTGCATCTCGATAATTTTTTCTCTGGTCCGATCAAATTGGGATGAACTTTAAATTCATACGTCATGAATTCAAATTTTGGTAATTTTTTAAGGTTAGATCACAAGAGATTTATACCTAATGAATATACTAGTTTTGATGTGGATAACTTGTATTTGATCAGACCGAGGAGAAGATTAGTCAAAAAATTGAACCAAAAAAAAAATTGAAATAATTGACATATCTTTTTCACAAGAGTACTCATGAAAGAAATCCCTAGGCATGAGATTACATAGCTCTCTATAGTATGAAGAAAATAGTAATTGCATGGTTCCAAGGTAATGTTTTGGGCTGCAGAAGCAATTATAGAAAGATAAAACAGGGAAACTGAACAGACCCTGGGTCCCAACAGGGCTCTATGGTTAATTAATTCTCATAAATGCTTTTTTGTTTTTATTATCTCAATCTTTAAATATGAAAATTATCGGTCGGCTTAATTATTATCGTCTCTCTGTTAGACTTTAAAGTCATAGAATCAAAGTTTCAATGTTTTGAATATCGTCCGTCGTCCTCTGCTCCCCGTAATTGTGTTTGACGAAAAGATAAAAAAAAGTAGCAAATGAATAAATATCATGTACCAAGTAGTAGCAGTTAATTTTAACATATCTGTTTAATTAATTGTAATGATTTAACACAAATTCAATTTAATTATTAATCATTCAGGTGGAACCCCTGATAATAAAAATAAACTCAATCTGACCGCATAAAAAAAAATCGAAAACTCTACCCAAATTCATCCAATACATTACAAAAACTAAATAAAAAATTTAAAATTACTCATTTTTCCCTTAGTTTCATTTAAATAAATTTATCGTGAGAGAATCGAGTTACTCATGTTTGATACTTTCCGACCCTTTTAATTTTTTGTTTTAGCATTTCATGGCAATTTTAAAGTTCTTTTATAGTAAGCCATTTCATGTTAATTTAGCGTTGGACTCGTATCATGTTATAATATTGTGTTAGAACTTGACACTCACAATGTTTACGATTAGGGGTGGTAAATTGGCCAAAAGAACGAGCTTGTTTTTAAAATGAGTTTAAAAAATTATTTAAATTCGACTCATTTTTTAAATGAACGAGTTTGAGCCGAACCCGAGTAACTTGATTTTTTTACATATAAACGTACTGAATCTTACGAGTATAAGCTGAGTTTATAACACTCATTTTCATCGAGTAAGTGTAGCAACACTCCCCTTGTTGTATCCCTGTAAGCCTAATTTTCTTTTCTTGCTTGGAAGCTCTCTAAAGTAGCTCTTAACTAAAGTTCCTAAGTGTTCTATCACGATAGGATACATTCTAACCAATAAGATCAGGTATTTAGTTACAGAATTGAGGATAAATGTAACATCTTTCCTGAGTTTCGAGAAAGAAGAGTAAAGAAGCAGAAGACCAACCAGCTGCAATGCATATCTAGGGGATTCGGTTGTAAGATATGCTTATTGACAGATAAGATAGACCTTTCAAGGTCCTTATTAGAATAAAAAGTAATTTTATCTAATGTTTATCAATACATAACATAAACATTAGATAATAATTATTTAATTTAATTAGTTGTTTGGTTTGAAAAATTATTTCATTGTGTTATTGTTGAATTAACAAAATATATTTAATTAGTGTTTGTTATATTAATGACTGCTTGATTTTATCAGTTACAGAGATATAATAGTAAATGTTTAGAGTAATATGTTTGAGTTAGATTATAATATCACCTCTCTTGGTGATATTAAAATATTTTCATAATACTTTTATTTTTGAAATTAATACAATATCGAATTTGTTTATTAAACAAAGTATTAAACTCAATTAAATAAAAAATAATATAATTTAATATTTAATTTCTTAATAATACGTCCACAAAATAAACTCTTTGTAATAACCCCGTGCCAAAAGTTTGTACTGTAAAAAACAATTGACCAAATTAGACATTATCCCCATCCTATATTGGTTGTTTTTCCACAGTTGTGAAACATAATCTTGAAACAAACCAATCCAATCCAATCTAATCATAAAGGAATTAAATAGATTTGCGGTTAAGACTCGTCTCAGTATTTTTGTATCTGTATCCATGGTCAACCTGATAAGTCCTCCAGATAAACCTGCCCTCTAATTGAAACATATCCCAAGAAGATCCTGCTACATTTGTCACTTAACAAATGGTCATCTGTTTTTCTAAACCCTAATCCCCCCGTAGCCCCATCTCTTTTACCGTTTCACACCGAGAACTGAGAAAAGTCACCATCTTTGGTCTTGTCATTTAGCTTTGTGTGTGTGTGTGTGTGTGTGTNCTTTTAATTTTTTGTTTTAGCATTTCATGGCAATTTTAAAGTTCTTTTATAGTAAGCCATTTCATGTTAATTTAGCGTTGGACTCGTATCATGTTATAATATTGTGTTAGAACTTGACACTCACAATGTTTACGATTAGGGGTGGTAAATTGGCCAAAAGAACGAGCTTGTTTTTAAAATGAGTTTAAAAAATTATTTAAATTCGACTCATTTTTTAAATGAACGAGTTTGAGCCGAACCCGAGTAACTTGATTTTTTTACATATAAACGTACTGAATCTTACGAGTATAAGCTGAGTTTATAACACTCATTTTCATCGAGTAAGTGTAGCAACACTCCCCTTGTTGTATCCCTGTAAGCCTAATTTTCTTTTCTTGCTTGGAAGCTCTCTAAAGTAGCTCTTAACTAAAGTTCCTAAGTGTTCTATCACGATAGGATACATTCTAACCAATAAGATCAGGTATTTAGTTACAGAATTGAGGATAAATGTAACATCTTTCCTGAGTTTCGAGAAAGAAGAGTAAAGAAGCAGAAGACCAACCAGCTGCAATGCATATCTAGGGGATTCGGTTGTAAGATATGCTTATTGACAGATAAGATAGACCTTTCAAGGTCCTTATTAGAATAAAAAGTAATTTTATCTAATGTTTATCAATACATAACATAAACATTAGATAATAATTATTTAATTTAATTAGTTGTTTGGTTTGAAAAATTATTTCATTGTGTTATTGTTGAATTAACAAAATATATTTAATTAGTGTTTGTTATATTAATGACTGCTTGATTTTATCAGTTACAGAGATATAATAGTAAATGTTTAGAGTAATATGTTTGAGTTAGATTATAATATCACCTCTCTTGGTGATATTAAAATATTTTCATAATACTTTTATTTTTGAAATTAATACAATATCGAATTTGTTTATTAAACAAAGTATTAAACTCAATTAAATAAAAAATAATATAATTTAATATTTAATTTCTTAATAATACGTCCACAAAATAAACTCTTTGTAATAACCCCGTGCCAAAAGTTTGTACTGTAAAAAACAATTGACCAAATTAGACATTATCCCCATCCTATATTGGTTGTTTTTCCACAGTTGTGAAACATAATCTTGAAACAAACCAATCCAATCCAATCTAATCATAAAGGAATTAAATAGATTTGCGGTTAAGACTCGTCTCAGTATTTTTGTATCTGTATCCATGGTCAACCTGATAAGTCCTCCAGATAAACCTGCCCTCTAATTGAAACATATCCCAAGAAGATCCTGCTACATTTGTCACTTAACAAATGGTCATCTGTTTTTCTAAACCCTAATCCCCCCGTAGCCCCATCTCTTTTACCGTTTCACACCGAGAACTGAGAAAAGTCACCATCTTTGGTCTTGTCATTTAGCTTTGTGTGTGTGTGTGTGTGTGTGTGTGTGAGAGAGAGAGAGAGAGAGAGAGAGGGGGGGCTTAGTCAAGAAGCCAACCTTACATGAAGACCCATATGGTTACAATTCTATGGTTCTGGGAATATGGGTTCTTTGTAAACAATAGTAAAATGAAATTTTTGGTATTTTATTTTGATTTGCGATTCTCATCTCTATGAGAATCTCTCTTTTTATGGTTTAAGAGTAATAGATATTCGGATCATAAACAATTTATGTGTATATTAATTAATTATTTTTTTAATTTAGTAAAAAAATATCATTTATATCAAGATTAGAGTATTCATGAATTTCTTATGACCTAATTTCACGTAATTATCAAGATTTAAATTTAAAATTTTTTAATTTATAATTTGTTTTTGTTAACTCTTGAACTACTCTTCAAATTACTTGTAATTCTCAAAAGAATGCATATTCTACTTTTTTTTTTTTAATAAGGAGATGTCTCTTAAATACAAATTCGTCATAGTTCTATTTTTTATAATAAATTATAAATATTTATAATCATCCGTAAATCACAAGCCATGGATAAGGTCAAGAGTTATTAGCGACAATTGAATCGGAAACTTTTAGGTTAATGATTCTTCTAAGCTAAAGACACATTTTTGTTATGTTTTTTTTTTTTTTTGATCTTATTCATTTTGTCCATGAAATTCACTCCACAAATACAATGCAGCAGCTGAGTACAAGTAGTACACACAAATCACTACACAATATCACACACCACCACCCCAACTTTAAATGAGGCCAGCCTCTCTCTCTCTCTCTCTCTCCTGTTTTTTCATTGGTAACAGTAGCAGTAGCATCAGTTGCAGGCGCCGTTCTCTTTTCTTACACTCCTCTCACCCCCCCCCTCTCTCTCTCTCTCTCTCTCTCTCTCTCTCTCTCCTCTTCTTGTCATCCCTGACGGTATCTTTCTCCCCTAAAACAAGCTCTCTCACGCACACAATCGTTATCTCTTCCTAGAATTGCTGATGAGCCTTCTCTACCGCCATCAACCATAAATCCCTCTCTCTCTCTCATCACTGGTAGTCTGATACTCGGTAGTTGATACACAAATCAAAGATGGTGGGGGTGTCTCTCCGTCTCTCTGTCTCTAAAAACTATGTTTTGTGCACTGTAAATATGTTCATTTTCTTTTGACAAGTAATTGAATTTGATTTCAATGAATGTTTTTGCAGTTGAATTGTTCTCATCTTCTTCCTCGTTGGGTTGAAGCACTCTTGAGTGAGAAGTTCTTCAACGCCTGCATAATTCACGAAGAAGCTAAAAAGAATGAAAAAAACATCTTTTGTTTGGACTGTTGCGAGAGCCTTTGCCCTCACTGCTTGACCCCTCACCGCTCTCACCGTCTTTTACAGGTATATACCCACAAAATTCACCATTAAATTCTTCAGAAATCTCTCTATCTCTGTATGGGCTTCTTGAATATTGTTTGGTTTTTGGTTTCAGATAAGAAGGTATGTCTATCATGACGTTTTAAGGCTGGGCGATGCTGAGAAATTAATGGACTGTGCTTTTGTTCAAGTAAGTAAAACATGTTCAACAGAACACAAAACTATGGAAAATAAATATTTGAATTCCTTCTTTTTATACCTTTTTGAAGCATTTCTTGAATATTCCTCTCTCTCTCTCTCTCTCTCTCTCTCTCTCTCTTCAGTCTTACACCACAAACAGTGCAAAAGTGGTATTTTTAAATCAAAGGCCACAGACAAGGTTATCAAGGGGCTCCGGCAACATCTGCATCACCTGTGACAGAGGCCTGCAAGACCCATATCTATTCTGTTCTCTCTCCTGCAAGGTACATGTCCCTAAAACCCTAACTTTCTCAAACCCCAACAAAACCTCCATAACTCTCCATTCTCTCTCTGACCAACTTCACAGTTTTGCCTTTTTTTATCCGGGTGTCTCTTCGTTTTCTCGCAGCTTCAATACATTCTCAGAACCGGAGATGAGCTTTCAAGGTACATTCACAAGCGTGAGCACATCACTCTGCCTGAACCGGGTTTGGAAGATGGCCAGATGACACCTGACTCGGTTCTCGAACCGGCCTGTTCGGTGAGGACGTCGTCTGGGACTAGTGGCAGTGGTGGCACCGCCGGTGAAGTGGGCTGCCGGACAATTGCTTGTACGGCGACAACTGAAATTGTTAGGAAGAAACGTAGCAGTGTTTCGGCGTTTCGGGTGGCGTGTCGGCCGATTTGTGCACCGGTTTCCGAAATCTCCGCGGCTATGATGAACCGGCGGAAGGGTACGCCTCACCGGTCTCCACTTTATTGATTTATGTACGGAAGAGTGATGAAGAGAGAGAGGGGGAGGGTTTTGGGACATGATTGGTATTTTTTGGTAGTTCAAGGGCATTAAAGGGTTAAAAAAGAGGCCTCCCAATTTTGCAGTGTATACACTTCTCTCTTGCTTATCTGTTACTTTATTCAGGGTACTATTATTAATCCAATTTGAAAACTCTTCCATACAAATTTAGGGTATGTAATAAGGTCTACTTACTAAGCAGAGGAGGAGGATCAGTGGTTCGTTTAATGGTCACTACAGTCTGCCATTAGACTGTTGGGTTACGAGTTAGAATTTCATCATCGCCTCTCTTGTAACAATTCAAAATAGTGACCAAAAAACCCTAAGGTGACGAAGTTTAAAAACCTCAGATTGATCCAAAAAATATAGGAATTGACCCATGTCTTTGGACCAATTTAAATCAACCATTGATTATTATAATTTAGTATTATGATTGATTATAATTTTTGGTTCACCACGCTTGCCCATAATTGAGTTATTATTTGTATAAGAATATCTTTCAACATGCTTATTCAAAATAATTCTTAAAGCGGTTGTATGAAAGCTGGAACTGGGTACGAGAAATTTATGAAATTTTGGGGGTATGCGAAGTTTTGAAACCTGAAACACTAAAGTTTTTGAAAACCGTCAGATTCATTGGTTTTGGACAAAATCCGCTGATTTAGCAGTTCTTCAACAGTTTGAATACATAGACGGTCTTTTAAGTAAATCAGACTGTTTTAAGATCCGATTCACCAATTTATTAGTCTAATCGATCGGTCCGGTCCGATTTTATAAATCTGCTGACAAGAAGTAAAAGCATCTGGAGTTTTGACAGTATGACCCACCAATCTTCATAAAAAATGCTAGAACTGCAAACCCAACAGGACATTCCATTTCTCTTATTTCTTCCATCATCGTCCTTTTCGTCTTCTCTAGAGTTAGGGGCCACAAGCGAACGGACCTAGTCATGAATAGCTTGAGATTGACTTGGTTCGAAACTTGTTCAAATTCATTCATAAAAAAATTACCGGTACCTCNCTCTCTCTCTCTCTCCTCTTCTTGTCATCCCTGACGGTATCTTTCTCCCCTAAAACAAGCTCTCTCACGCACACAATCGTTATCTCTTCCTAGAATTGCTGATGAGCCTTCTCTACCGCCATCAACCATAAATCCCTCTCTCTCTCTCATCACTGGTAGTCTGATACTCGGTAGTTGATACACAAATCAAAGATGGTGGGGGTGTCTCTCCGTCTCTCTGTCTCTAAAAACTATGTTTTGTGCACTGTAAATATGTTCATTTTCTTTTGACAAGTAATTGAATTTGATTTCAATGAATGTTTTTGCAGTTGAATTGTTCTCATCTTCTTCCTCGTTGGGTTGAAGCACTCTTGAGTGAGAAGTTCTTCAACGCCTGCATAATTCACGAAGAAGCTAAAAAGAATGAAAAAAACATCTTTTGTTTGGACTGTTGCGAGAGCCTTTGCCCTCACTGCTTGACCCCTCACCGCTCTCACCGTCTTTTACAGGTATATACCCACAAAATTCACCATTAAATTCTTCAGAAATCTCTCTATCTCTGTATGGGCTTCTTGAATATTGTTTGGTTTTTGGTTTCAGATAAGAAGGTATGTCTATCATGACGTTTTAAGGCTGGGCGATGCTGAGAAATTAATGGACTGTGCTTTTGTTCAAGTAAGTAAAACATGTTCAACAGAACACAAAACTATGGAAAATAAATATTTGAATTCCTTCTTTTTATACCTTTTTGAAGCATTTCTTGAATATTCCTCTCTCTCTCTCTCTCTCTCTCTCTCTCTTCAGTCTTACACCACAAACAGTGCAAAAGTGGTATTTTTAAATCAAAGGCCACAGACAAGGTTATCAAGGGGCTCCGGCAACATCTGCATCACCTGTGACAGAGGCCTGCAAGACCCATATCTATTCTGTTCTCTCTCCTGCAAGGTACATGTCCCTAAAACCCTAACTTTCTCAAACCCCAACAAAACCTCCATAACTCTCCATTCTCTCTCTGACCAACTTCACAGTTTTGCCTTTTTTTATCCGGGTGTCTCTTCGTTTTCTCGCAGCTTCAATACATTCTCAGAACCGGAGATGAGCTTTCAAGGTACATTCACAAGCGTGAGCACATCACTCTGCCTGAACCGGGTTTGGAAGATGGCCAGATGACACCTGACTCGGTTCTCGAACCGGCCTGTTCGGTGAGGACGTCGTCTGGGACTAGTGGCAGTGGTGGCACCGCCGGTGAAGTGGGCTGCCGGACAATTGCTTGTACGGCGACAACTGAAATTGTTAGGAAGAAACGTAGCAGTGTTTCGGCGTTTCGGGTGGCGTGTCGGCCGATTTGTGCACCGGTTTCCGAAATCTCCGCGGCTATGATGAACCGGCGGAAGGGTACGCCTCACCGGTCTCCACTTTATTGATTTATGTACGGAAGAGTGATGAAGAGAGAGAGGGGGAGGGTTTTGGGACATGATTGGTATTTTTTGGTAGTTCAAGGGCATTAAAGGGTTAAAAAAGAGGCCTCCCAATTTTGCAGTGTATACACTTCTCTCTTGCTTATCTGTTACTTTATTCAGGGTACTATTATTAATCCAATTTGAAAACTCTTCCATACAAATTTAGGGTATGTAATAAGGTCTACTTACTAAGCAGAGGAGGAGGATCAGTGGTTCGTTTAATGGTCACTACAGTCTGCCATTAGACTGTTGGGTTACGAGTTAGAATTTCATCATCGCCTCTCTTGTAACAATTCAAAATAGTGACCAAAAAACCCTAAGGTGACGAAGTTTAAAAACCTCAGATTGATCCAAAAAATATAGGAATTGACCCATGTCCTTGGACCAATTTAAATCAACCATTGATTATTATAATTTAGTATTATGATTGATTATAATTTTTGGTTCACCACGCTTGCCCATAATTGAGTTATTATTTGTATAAGAATATCTTTCAACATGCTTATTCAAAATAATTCTTAAAGCGGTTGTATGAAAGCTGGAACTGGGTACGAGAAATTTATGAAATTTTGGGGGTATGCGAAGTTTTGAAAACCGTCAGATTCATTGGTTTTGGACAAAATCCGCTGATTTAGCAGTTCTTCAACAGTTTGAATACATAGACGGTCTTTTAAGTAAATCAGACTGTTTTAAGATCCGATTCACCAATTTATTAGTCTAATCGATCGGTCCGGTCCGATTTTATAAATCTGCTGACAAGAAGTAAAAGCATCTGGAGTTTTGACAGTATGACCCACCAATCTTCATAAAAAATGCTAGAACTGCAAACCCAACAGGACATTCCATTTCTCTTATTTCTTCCATCATCGTCCTTTTCGTCTTCTCTAGAGTTAGGGGCCACAAGCGAACGGACCTAGTCATGAATAGCTTGAGATTGACTTGGTTCGAAACTTGTTCAAATTCATTCATAAAAAAATTACCGGTACCTCGTACAAATGCACCATAAATAACCTTTATCAATTTATTTGCATATTAACATATATTTATATAAAGTACTATTTGATTTGAATAGGAGATACAATTTTAGACAAGTATTTTTAAAAATAAGATAAAAAATAATAATTCGTTAAAAATAACATGGAAAAGAAAATTGTTATAAAAAGTGAAATGCAATGCATTGGCATCCACCTGAAATATGTAAAATTTCATATCATTGCAAAATTAATGTCAAATTTATAGCAGTTTTGTTCTTATGCCATGTGTATATACATAGCAACCGCTTCTAGGGAGAGGGGCTGACACCTATCTGGGGATAGTTGACACTTGAAAGTGTTGAAATGTTTGGAGAACTTTTAGGCCTCGTTTGGTAATGTTTATGATTTTTAATTTTTAAAAAAATAAAAAATAGAATCAAAAAACGAAAAATGTCTTTTTCTCGTTTTTAAAAATCGCCCTTCGTTTATAAAACGATGACAGAAAAAAAAAAAACGGTTATCAAACGAGTTTTTTTTCCTTATTTTCTCTAAATATCAAAATAAAAACGGAAAACGAAAAACATAAACGTTACCAAACGGGAAGCTGAATGCTGAATGCTGAATGTTAATTCCTTAAAATTTACATTTAAGAGTTATCGGTTCAAAGAGTTACATTTATCCTAATTCCTTAAAATTAGATTAATTNCCTGAAACACTAAAGTTTTTGAAAACCGTCAGATTCATTGGTTTTGGACAAAATCCGCTGATTTAGCAGTTCTTCAACAGTTTGAATACATAGACGGTCTTTTAAGTAAATCAGACTGTTTTAAGATCCGATTCACCAATTTATTAGTCTAATCGATCGGTCCGGTCCGATTTTATAAATCTGCTGACAAGAAGTAAAAGCATCTGGAGTTTTGACAGTATGACCCACCAATCTTCATAAAAAATGCTAGAACTGCAAACCCAACAGGACATTCCATTTCTCTTATTTCTTCCATCATCGTCCTTTTCGTCTTCTCTAGAGTTAGGGGCCACAAGCGAACGGACCTAGTCATGAATAGCTTGAGATTGACTTGGTTCGAAACTTGTTCAAATTCATTCATAAAAAAATTACCGGTACCTCGTACAAATGCACCATAAATAACCTTTATCAATTTATTTGCATATTAACATATATTTATATAAAGTACTATTTGATTTGAATAGGAGATACAATTTTAGACAAGTATTTTTAAAAATAAGATAAAAAATAATAATTCGTTAAAAATAACATGGAAAAGAAAATTGTTATAAAAAGTGAAATGCAATGCATTGGCATCCACCTGAAATATGTAAAATTTCATATCATTGCAAAATTAATGTCAAATTTATAGCAGTTTTGTTCTTATGCCATGTGTATATACATAGCAACCGCTTCTAGGGAGAGGGGCTGACACCTATCTGGGGATAGTTGACACTTGAAAGTGTTGAAATGTTTGGAGAACTTTTAGGCCTCGTTTGATAATGTTTATGATTTTTAATTTTTAAAAAAATAAAAAATAGAATCAAAAAACGAAAAATGTCTTTTTCTCGTTTTTGAAAATCGCCCTTCGTTTATAAAACGATGACAGAAAAAAAAAAAACGGTTATCAAACGAGTTTTTTTTCCTTATTTTCTCTAAATATCAAAATAAAAACGGAAAACGAAAAACATAAACGTTACCAAACGGGAAGCTGAATGCTGAATGCTGAATGTTAATTCCTTAAAATTTACATTTAAGAGTTATCGGTTCAAAGAGTTACATTTATCCTAATTCCTTAAAATTAGATTAATTAAAATGGAATGTTTGGTGGTGTTTGATAAAATCGAAAGTTGAATGTTAAATTTGTGGACTGTTTAATACCCACTTAAATTTAAGTACTGAATTAAATCAAATTATTTGATAACCATCTAGAGCTGATGTCTGAAAATAAATCAATTTTTAGTTTTACCTTTTCTTTTCTTTACTTTGAAAATATTTATAAAATATTTTTTATCCAATAAAAAATTATGATTTATCAAATCAGTTTAACTCATAGCATAAATCATAATCATTATTATCATATTATAGTCTATATATTGAGTAACACAATAAGTGAATAATAACTAATAAATATTCAACAAGTATTTTAGAAAATAGAATAAATTAGATTTTAATTTGAATAAAAAAATAGAACAAATTAGAACATTTAGATTTTAATGTGTATGCGGGTGGGTGTGCAGTGTATATTTTTTTTTTTTACCAAATATCTTGATATAACATGAAATAAAATTCATCCAAAGTATAACTAATCCACCGAGTAACCAGAATAAACTAAGTCCATCATAAACACAATAGGGGTTTGCACTAACAATGGCTGATATTGGAGATTGGAATGAACGATAGCCTAATTGCCTAAGCTATCACAAACTGAATATACCAAATGGAAGAAGACTTACTACCAACAAAAAAAAAAAAAAATGGAATAAGACTTATCTGAGTCGTTGAAGAAGACGATGACGACGAAGAGGATAAATAGATTGAGAGTTTTTGAGAGAATACTAATTAGAGTTTTAATAGGATTGTGAAATATTTGTAAATATTATTAAAAATATTTTTGCTGAGTATTTTCAACTGTTAATATTATTGTAGCCTATTTTTAAGAATTACTTAATATATTAAGATATTCAAATTTTAGTTATCAAACGATCTTAATTAAAAGGTGTCGAATACATTAATTTCAAGTACTGAATTTGGGTTAACAAACACACCAATGACACTTAAAAATTTAGAATATTAGGAATGTGGGTTTAGAGACTTCTCCGACTTTGTAGATTCATTTCTTTTAGAATATAGAGATCCGAGCTTAGGTTTAATTTGAAAGCTTGCTTCATAGATGAGTTGATCATGAAAGGTGATTTGCTCAACTCGTCTGAGCTTGTTAATGTGTATATAATATGTAATGAATAATGTTATATGCACATAAAAATTTGACATAATTTGTTGATCTGATGATGTGGTTTCAGTGAAATCATTGGATCGACACCAAGTTCTAATGTTTGATGGGGTCCATAGTCAATCCAAAAATTATAGTGAATTAGGTCAATAAATTATGTCCCAATACTATTGCTCGTATGTAATAGTTTGACGGGTCAAGTTTAAGTTTCGGAAAGAGTTACAGAAGTTGAGTCCAAGTTTCAACAAAAAATTTAACTACTCAAATTTGAACAAAATACAAGATATTTGTAACTTATGATTTTAAACTTCTTTGCAAATAGATGAGTCTGAACCTCAATCGTGAAATACCCAACTCGATTCGATTCATTTACATCCCCAGCTAAAACAGAAAGGGACAAAACACAAAAGCAACTTTTTTTCAATTGCTAATGGTTTTCCATCTCCAAGGCCTCTATTCAACTTCTTGAAAAGGGAAGCCCTTGATTTTTATATGGCTTTGGGGAACTACTAATAACCTTTCTTTAATATAATTTAATAACAGTCTATGTAAGGTCTAACTTTGAATGACCTATAGCTTTTGATTGAATTGGTTGTCACTTCATTCTGGTTCTGGTTGTTTTGTAAATTGTTATGTTCTTCTTCTGTATATTGGAACTATGGAAGAATTGGGACTAAGGAATAAATAAATTTTGTATATTTAAAATTAAGGGATGGTGATAAAATTCAATGCTTGCCCCCTCCTCTTGCCAATTGTAAATTTATCATTAAATTAAGCATTGTTACGATCCCACGTCAGTTAAAAATAAAATTATATATATATATGATGTCCTATCTCTGCAATTAAATTTGAGTCATCTAACTCATCTTTAAATTTTCATTTGATTCACATTAGAAATCACTTGTAAGTTTTAGTTGTACCCGATCACCCAACCTTAATCCAGAACCTCAAGAGCACGTAAGCCTTTCTTTGTTCCGAGTGTAAGTCCAGTTGTGGCAGATAAGGAATTTTATGCGAGAAGTTGAGAGAACTTGGAGCCAGATTAGGGGGTATGTATCGTGTAGTTGAAACTTATCTGTTATTTATAATTTGATAAAATTTAAATTTAAAATATGAGTAGATTTCTTAGATCTAATTCTTACATTTAGATCTTCAGATTATTCTATACCACATAGAGTTAATGAAGAAGA